AGGAGAATGGCGTAAACCCGGGAGGCGGAGCTTGCAGTGAGCTGAGATCCGGCCACTGCACTCCAGCCTGGGCCACAGAGCGAGACTCTGTCTCAAAAAAAAAAAAAAACAAAAAAAAACAAGAATGTGGATTTTTACCTACATTAAAAGGTTTAAAATTTTTTTTGTTTTAAAGGTTTAAGCAAGTTTTGAAATGTTAATCGTAAAGGAAGTTCTGCGTGTAAACATACTGGCTAAAGTTAAACGGGTATCATCCAGTTTTTCTGTGAACTGGACTTTAAAATAAAAGCACAACAGGTTTTTCTTAAAACACTAACCTGCTGTTTAACAAAAATTATAAAAGGTTAAAAAGAGTCTATAAAATTCTTACCTTATAGTCAGACATTAAAAATTGGATAAATATGTCTACAAGATTTTATTAAAATTAAGTTTAACATTAATAACACACTAATATAAAGGTTAAATTTAGCTTATCTGGTATAAAAGTCATATAGGAAGCATTGTCAAATATAAAATGGTGTTTGACTTTCTTTGGTCTAAAAACTAACAAAAATAGGTGCTAAAGGAAATTTCTCAGTAAGAAGTTACAAAGGACTATAAAGTCCACTGCTGATGTCCCTACATTTAAAACAAAAGGTCAATTTCTTAGAAATTATATACTTGTTTTATCTTCTATTTTCCTTTCCCTCAAAACAAAAAGTCTTTTAGCACAGGTACCACCCCTAGAATTTCTGGTAAACCAGCACCAGCCTGAGGATCACGTTCTCATCAAAGGGTAGAAAGAAGGAAAACTCATAGATATGAGTTCTAAATTTCTCTTCAAAGAATCAGTATGTCAGTATGTTCAATTCTTTGCCTTCTACTTTTAAACTTAACTTCCTTGTAAAGCAACCTTTTTCAATTACCTGCTCCACCCTGACTCATTCTGATTACCTGCTCCACCCTGACTCATTCCAATTACCTGCTCATTCTCCACCCTGACTCATTCCAATTTCCTGCTCTGCCATAACCATTTTTCCCACCAAACCACTCACCCCTTCACTCTCTTTAAATTAGCCAATCAGAATCAGTTTAGCCTGTGCGTCTAACCCTAGTCAATAGGGGAATGACACAGCAGCAGGGGCCACGTGCGTCAGGGATAAGAACGCCTTCCCCTCCCTTGTCCAAGTGTGTGCTCACCATTGCTCCACCTGTAAGGGTACACCCTTCTATAGAACTACCTTGCCTTGCTGAGAATTAAAAAGAAAATTTTATATTTGAGTGCTATTTCTTTTGTGGCACTAAAACTTTACTTATAACAGCACCATGCAAAAGACACTAGCCACAAGCACTAGGACATAGGATCAATGACATCCAAGTCAGGGCTCCTCTTACCTCTGCCTTCGACTCTTCTTCTAAGGACAAATGGGTCAGCGTCTCCTTCTGCTGAGGCTCATCTTCTTTTGAGGGTTCCTCTGTCTTTATGGGCTGCTTCTCCTCCTGCAATCAGCATTAGGGGAAAGGCAAGAGTGAGGTTGCTGTCCCTCTGTCTCCATTCAGTATGGCATGCATCCCCAGCTTCCAGGGCTTCTCAGAGTCTTCAGTGTCAGGGGGTCCCTTCACCCTGAGAGATCAATGGGACACCCCTAACAAGCCTGGTGTGTTTGGCTCTTACCATTGGTCACATATGGATTGGTTGTAGATGGTTCAAATCCCCTCACATCTGTGTTCATCCAGCCATGGCATAGGCAGGAAGGGTGGAGGAAAAAAGGCCTGTGATGTCATAATGGCACCTGTGACTCAGGCACCAGATGGTTCCTAACAAGTGAGCCCCCTCCAAAGGAAAGACAAAAGCGCTGCCCATTCTTTTCTGCCAGAAATGGACAAAGCCCTGACTTCAAAGGCAAGATGCCAGAAATCCTGGCCCATTGCTGTAAAGGTTTATAAAAAGCCAGTCATTGGTAATAATATTTAATTGAAAAAACTTGGCCAGGCACGGTGGCTCAGGCCTGTAATCCCAGCACTTTGGGAGGCCAAGGCAGGCAGATCAACTGAGGTCAGGAGTTCGAGATCAGCCTGGCCAACATGGCGAAACCTTGTCTCTACTAAAAATACAAAAATTAGCTGGGTGTGTTGGCTGTCACCTGTAATCCCAGCTATTCGGGAGGCTGAGGTAGGGAGAATTGCTTGAACCCAGGAAGTGGGGTTTGCAGTGAGCCAGGATCATGCCACTGCACTCTAGGCTGGGCAAGAGAGCAAGACTCCATCTCAAAAAAAAAAAAAAGAAAAGAAAAAACTTAAATAGCCCACTTTAATAATCAATAGGGGATTAACTTAATGGTGCATAGTTCATTCATACTATAAAATACTACATAACTATTAAAAATAATGAATTTGATCTATGTTACTAATGAGGAAATATATAAAGATGTATTTATAAGTAAAAAAACTAAAGTTCCTTTTGATCCCACTATGTAAACAAAACTAGGAACATAATTCTACACATAAAATTGAATAATTTATGCCAGAAGTTATTATATGATACACATTTTATGTTGCAAATTAATATAAAGAAGAAAAAAGGTATATATACCAAACTATTACCAATGATTACCTCTGGAGAGGAGAGTTTAATTGCTGACTCATGCCTAACACAGTCCCCAAGGAACCCCATGAGGGTCGAGGACCAGCCTGGACTCCATCTGAGGTTCAAATGGGTTCAAGTGCTCTCCTGTCTTCCTCTGTCTCTGGGGTCTCAAGGCCACAGTCAGATAGATGAGGGGGGCCACTGCACAAGCACAGCCCCTTTCTGCCTGATCTCAGCCTCTGAAGACCCAGCTGGACAGGGTAAATCCCTGAGAGGCACAGCCCCTGGGATCACTGAGGAGTGCACTTGAAATATAGGGTGAGTATGGGAGAGGCCAATGTGGATATGTAGGGGGAATGTAGGGAAGAGGAGGAGGCCATTTGAGGCTGGGATGTGAAGTTAATGGGATGAGGGGGTGGGGAACATGGGAATACATTGAAAGATATGGGAAGTTGTGGGTGTGATATGGTTTGGCTCTGTGTCCCCACCCAAATCTCATCTTGAATTGTAACTCCCACAGTTCCTGTGTGTTTGGGAGGAACCCAGTGGGAGGTGACTGAATTGTGGGGGTGGGTCTTTCCTGCATGGTTCTCATGATAGTGAATGAGTCTAATGAGATCTGATGGTTTTAAAAATGGGAGTTTGGGCTGGGTGCAGTGGCTTATGCCTGTAATTCTAGCACTTTGGGAGGCCGAGGCAGGAGGATCGTGAGGTCAGGAGATCAAGACCATCCTCACTACCATGGTGAAACCCCGTCTCTACTAAAAATACAAAAAATTAGCTGGGTGTGGTGGTGGGCGCCTGTAGTTCCAGCTACTGGGGAGGCTGAGGCAGGAGAATGGCATGAACCTAGGAGGCAGGGCTTGCAGTGAGCCGAGATTGCACCACTGCCCTCCAGCCTGGGTGACAGAGCAAGACTCCATCTCAAAAAAAAAAAGGGAGTTTGCCTGCACAAGCTCTCTCTTTGCCTGCTACCATCCATGTAAGACGTGATTTGCTCCTCCTTGCCTTCCACCATGATTATGAGGCCTCCTCAGTCATGTGGAACTGTAAGTCCAATTAAACCTCTTTCTTTTGTAAATTGCCCAGTCTTTGGTATGTCTTTTCAGCAGTTGAAAATGGACTAATACAGTAAATTGGTACCATTAGGGTGAGGTGTTGCTGAAAAAATATCCAAAAATGTGGAAGCAACTTTGGAACTGGGTAACAGGCAGAGCTTGGAACAGTTTGGAGAGCTCAGAAGAAGATAGTAAAATCTGGGAAAGTTTGGAACTTCCTAGAGACTTGTTGAATGGCTTTTTAAAAAGCCTGATAGTGACATGGACAATAAGGTCCTGGCTGAGGTGGTCTCAGATGGAGATGAGGAGCTTCTTGGGAACTGGACCAAAGGTGACTCTTATGTCGCCAAAAAGAGACTGGCAACATTTTGCCCCTGCCCTAGAGATTTGTGGAACTTTGAACTTGAGAGAGGTGATTTAGAGCATCTGGCAAAATAAATTTCTAAGCAGTAAAGCATTCAAGATGTGACTTGGGTGTTGTTAACAGCATTCAGTTTTATAAGGGAAACAGAGCATAAAAGTTCAAAAAATTTTCAGCCTGACAATGTGATAGAAAAGAAAACCCCGTTTTCTAAGGAGAAATTCAAGCCGACTTCAGACATTTGCATAAGTAATGAGGAGCCGAATGTTAATCCCCAAGACAATGGTGAATATGTCTCCAGGGCATGTCAGAGGCCTTCACAGCAGCCCCCCATCACAAGCCCAGAGGCCCAGGAGGAAATGGTTTCAGTGCTGTGTGCAGCCTAGGGACTTGGTGCCCTGTGTCCCAGCCACTCCAGCCATGGCTGAATGCGGCCAATGTACAACTTCAGAGGGTGCAAGCCCCAAACCTTGGCAGTTTCCACATGGTGTTGAGCCTCTGAGTGCGCAGAAGTCAAGAATTGGAGTTTGGGAACTTCTGCCTAAATTTCAGAGGATGTATGGAAATGCCTGGATGCCCAGGCAGAAGTTTGCTAGAGGGACTGGGCTCTCATGGAGAACCTCTGCTAGGGCAGTGTGGAAGGGAAATGTAAGGACAGAGCCCCCACACAGAGTCCCTATTGGGGCACCACCTAGTGGAGCTGTGAGAAGAGGGCTACTGTCCTTCAGACCCTGGAATGGTAGATCCAGCTTGCACTGTTTGCCTGGAAAAGCCACAGACACTGGATGCCAGCCCATGAAAGCAGCTGGGAGGGAGGTTGTACCCTGCAAAGCCATATGGGTGGAGCTGCCCAAAACCATGGGAACCTACCTCTTGCATCAGCATGACCTGGATATCAGACATGGAGTCAAAGTAGATCATTTTGGAGCTTTAAGATTTGACTGCCCCACTAGATTTCCGACTTGCATAGGGCCTGTAGCCCCTTTGTTTTGGCCAATTTCTCCCATTTAGAATGGCTGTATTTACCCAATGCCTGTACCCTCAATATATCTAGGAAGTAATTAACTTGCTTTTGATTTTACAGGCTCATAGGCAGAAGGGACTTGCCTTGTCTCAGATGAGACTTTGGACTGTGGACTTTTGAGTTAATGCTGAAATGAGTTGAGACTTGGGGGTACTGTTGGGAAGGCATGATTGGTTTTGAAATGTGAGAACACGAGATTTGGGAAGGGCCAGGAGTGGAATGATATGGTTTGGCCCTGTGTCCCCACCCAAATCTCATCTGGAATTATATATAACTCCCACAGTTCCCACATGTCGTGGCAGGAACCTGGTGGGAGGTTATTGAATTAGGAGGCAGATCTTTCCTGCACTTTTCTTGTGATAGTGAATGAGTCTTCCGAAATCTGATGGTTTTAAAAAATGGGAGTTTGGGCTGGGCGTGGTGGCTTACACCTGTAATCCCAGCACTTTGGGAGGCCAAGGTGGGTGGATCACCTGAGGTCAGGAGTTCGAGACCAGCCTGGCTAACATGGTGAAACTCTAGTTCTATCAAAAATACAAAAAATTAACTGGGCATGGTGGCTCGTGCCTGTAATCCCACTACTCAGGAGGCTGAGACAGGAGAATCGCTTGAACCTGGGAGGTAGAGGTTTACAGTGAGCTGAGATCACACCATTGCACTCCAGCTTGGGCAACAAGAGTAAAATTCTATCCCCCCCCCCAAAAAAAAAAATGGGGGTTTGCCTACACAAACTCTCTTTGCCTGCTGCTATTCATGTAAGACATGACTTGCTCCTCCTTGCCTTCCGCCAGGATTGTGAGGCTTCCCCAGCCACGTGGAACTGTAAGTTCAATTAACCCTCTTTCTTTTGTAAATCGCCCAGTCTTGGGTATGTCTTTATCAGCAGCCTGAAAATGGACTAATAGAGGGTGTGACAGAGAAGGTGTGATATGTGTTCATTTGAGAAGGATAATAGGATACAGGCCTTTGTTGTAACACTAGTCAATATTTTACTTCCCCCAACTCCCAACACTCTCCACACCTCCCCTCCGACACACACACACATACTCATGAAAGCCTTGTGCTTCATCATCTGGAAGAATAAACCCCAAACTCCTCACAACCTAAGTAGTGGGTATCAGCTTTTTGAGAGAGAAGAAGACAGAGAAGGCCAAGTGCAGTGGCTCACACCTGTAATCCCAGCACTTTGGGAGGCCACGGCAGATGGATCACTTGCACCCAGGAGTTTCAGACCAGTCGGGGCAATATAACAAAACCCTGTATCTACAAAATATACAAAACTCAGCCAGGCGTGGTGGTGTGCATCTGTAGTCCCAGCTACTTGGGAGACAGAGGTGCGAAAATCACCTGAGCCCAGGGAGGTCGAGGCTGCAGTGAGCCATGATCGCACCATTGCACCCCAACCTGGGTGACAGAGCGAGACCCAGTCTTAAAAAAAAAAAAAAGATAGAAAAATTAAATCAAAAATCTAATTACTGATCAGAATATACGGGGTAACTCACATCTTGTGAATAATAAAAAGCCCTGGCAACATCAAGAAAGGAAATGAGACAGTATAAAGGCAGGTCTGGGCAAGGAAGGGCTTCCCTCCGGAGTAGCCAGGAGGAGGAAGAAACGCCACTTCATGGGAATGTCAGAGGGCTCCACCTCCAGTTAGGATGCAGAGGGTCACAAAATACTCCCACAGCAACTGCACAATAAGAAAACACCT